CACACACACACACACACACACACACACAAGAACTCAATTTGTTATCTCTGGGATTTGTACGATTTATGCACATTATTATAGAGACATACTTATAAATAGTATATAAAAACACTGTGATGCTAGAAAAAACACTACTTTATCCGTTAGATGTTCTAAATTTGTCACATAATATTATCTCAAACTTATAGAATACCTTCGCATAAACACTGAACTCTTATTCGTTTATTTATGCAGTCATTTTGCAAATTCAAAATCTTTAAGAGATGCATTTTTTTTTTAAATAAATCTTTTCCAAGACTTAACCAATCTAAATTAGATATTTGTAATCTAAAGGATTTGATTGAGGCTGAATTCTTCTAGCAGATGTTGTGTATTTTGGTTGATTGTTTGGTGCATTTGTTACAAATGTTTAAAGAGTACTTGTGTAGTTACTGGGTTGACAACTAAATAATTGCGGATTTCACCAACAGGTAACGTTGTACATATTTATGAGTATATTAACTAACATCTTTGCACAGATAAGATCTTTCAATATATTATTATTTGGTCCTTTTTGAAACATTCAGTATCAAAATATCATTGAACTGTTGAATTGTGTGTGTGTGTATAAAAAGCAAAAATATGGGGAGCCAAAGCGAGTATTTTCGTTACATTTTGCTTTTTTATTTTCGTAAAAATGTTAATGCTTCATAAGCTCATAAAAAGTTGTATGCTGTGTACGGTGATGAAGGCTTAAAAGAACGGCAGTGTCAGTACTGGTTCGCAAAATTCCGTTAAGGGGATTTTTCATTGAAAGATGAGGAGTACTCTGGACGTCCAGTAGAGGTCGATAATGACCAAATAAAGGCCTTATTGATTCTGATCGTTATAGCTCAATACGGGATATTGCAAAGAAGCTCAATGTATTGTATACATGCATTCAGAACTATGTACGGCTTCTTAGTTATCAAAAAAAGCTCGATACATGGGTACCTCATAACTTTGGGGAGCGTGACTTAACGAGGCGTATTGATGTTTGCGATATGTTTCTTAAACGTAATGAAAATGACCCATTTTTCAAGCGGATGATTACTGGAGACGAAAAGTGGGTTGTTTATGACAGTATTGTACGAAAAAGATTCTGGACTAAGCAAAGCGAACCTGCACCACAACTGCAAAGGCTAACATTCGCTAGAAAAAGGTTTCGTTATCAGTTTGGTGGGATCACAAAGGAATTGTGTACTTTGAGCTGTTACCACGAAACCAGACTATTTATTCGGAGGTTTACATTCAATAACTGACTAATTTAAACAATGCATTACAACAAACATTAAAGAAAAGCGACGGAGCTGGCCAATGGGAAAGGAATAATCTTTCACCATGACAACGGTAAGCCTCACGCATCTTTAGTCACTAGACAAAAATTACTCGAGCTAGGTTAGGATGTATTACTTCATCCTCCTTATAGTTTCGACCTAGCTCTAAGTGAGATTGTCATTTATTTCGATCACCACCAAATTTCTTGAATGGACAAAAATTCCAAGTTGATAATGAAGTCAAAATTCAGTTAGACCAGTTTTTTGCTCATAAAAACTAAGAGTTTTATGAAAAAGGAATAATGTTACTACCCGAAAATGATAAAAGGTTACTGATAATAATGGACATTATATCAGAGATTAAAATTATTTTATGTATTAAATGAGTCGTTTTTTGTTTTCTTGAAAAATCCGCAATTACTTAGTTGTCAACTCAATATTATATAGATATATATATGAAATGTTATGTTATCGATAATCTAAGAAAGATCTAAACAATAGTAGAAGATTTGCTATGTACTAACAGAGCCGAATCAGCGATGCGCAAGTATCTAAGAATCGTCTTTAATTGCTATACTAACAAACATCAATAAACATTAATTATTGGGATATATTTCGCAACACTCTACACAATGTATCATTACGAACATCATCAATTAATCATCGCAATCATAATTAATCTTAGTTACTAGATAAAAGACACATGGCTTTAATACTGGCGCATCACTTTCTTTCTCGTGAGAGGAAGTAGGGCGCAATAATAAATCGCAAGGATGATACCGAAACTATGATCTCGTAGAACATAAGGCTAATCCACGCACATTAATAACTTTCTGCGCAAGCTGGTGCCCCAGGAATTACCACCGGATCCGTACCTAATCCTTTCATGTCCGACTTCCCAACCGCCGCTTCCCAAGCTAGCAATGCAGCCGCTGCTCTAGGGCTGTTCGATCAAAGCAGCAGCGGCGTTACTGCCGGCGGTAACGTTGCCGAAGCTCAAGTAGCAGCAGCAGCAACAGCAGCAGCAGCAGCGGCGGCATCACAAAGCGGCGGAGACCTCTTCAGTGCCGGCGGTCAGGCAGATCTCTTTGGGGGCGACTCTGCAATGCTCAAGGCCGCAGATGGGAGCTCTGGGGACGTCGCGTCCGACGGTGCACAAGCACCGTCGGCCGTTGCGCCCTCGACTGCTCTTACCTCTGGCAAGTCCACTGCCACGCCGCCTCCCAGACCACCGCCTCCCGCGACAGCAGCTTCCAATGGTACACCACGTGCATTGTCTCCAGCTGTTAGCGGAGCATCACCTGGTAGGCCAGCCTCGGGGCCTGCTTCGACTGCCGGCAGTGCAGCCCCGAGCAAGAGTGCATTTGATGATCTAAATGACAGTATTCGCATGGCACTGGGTGGCTCTCCGTCGCGACCGGCACCCCTTGCTCAGCACGCTCCTCCCACGCAACAACAACAGCAACAACAACAACAACAACAACAGCAACAACAACTGCCATCGCAACAACCCGTTCAACAGGGCTTCGCCATGTTCGACATGGGAAGTAATGTCGGGGCGGCCACTAGCCACATCATGATGGCTGGTGGCCAAATGGCTTCTTACGGAGTTCCTTCGTCGTCTTCTCAAGTACCCCCTGTCGGCTTTGGTTCTCCGGCTAAGCAGCCAATGTCAGGTGACGGGAATCTATCACAACCACGCTAACTGCATGCTTCTGAAGCAAATCCGAAATCCTTATTTTTTAAAATAATTCTTTGGAAATGAAGATTAAACGAATTATAATATCAAATGACTTCGGATTTGCTTTAAGTATGGCTTTCATTTTCGGAGGTTACATATTAACAGTCTCAAGTGTTATAACATTAACAGCTGTTAATCCTTGGAACTGCTTTTTTCTTTATTTTCTCCATTGCATGACCGCTTTTATGACTTACTTTAACAACAAACTCTGTTCATTCCATGGTAAGGACATTTTTTATTATGGGTAAAGATAAGGGAAAAGAAAAGATGAGCATTCAGGATAATCTCGAAATTTTAATGGATAATAGAAATACAATATTTTCAATATTAGAGAATTAGAAATTAAATTAGGTTCTATTTAGGATTTGATGCCCGTACACTTGAAATAATATTAATGCCATTAGGTACACAAAAGAACTCTCCAACATAGTTAAAAAATATTTAGTTAAATAGAAAAATACACTTTTTATAAACGTAGTTTATTATAACGTAAAATAATTTGATAAATCAGTTTGAATTTATATATTTTGTCATTTGAAATATAGTGGTAGAATTCATGTATACTCAAATCTTGCACGGTCATTAGTCAAATTAGATTGATGTATAAAATAATGATTTAAAGTAATAGTAAACTAAAAATGATAGTCAAGCTTTGAGTGATACTGCACAAATTGTGTTATTGTACAAGTATGAAACAAAGTAGACAAATTTTGTTCTATATGAATTAAGTTAATATTTTAATTATTTATGCTATTGTTATGATGATGATGATTATTATTATTATTATATTAATATTCTACATAGTTATTCTAGTTTATAATATAAGAAAATTTGTAAAATATTTATTCACATACAAATTTTATATATTTGCAAATATCAAATTTATATTTTGGTTATGCTTTTATGAGTTTCGGCTATATATATATATACATATATATATACAGGGTGTCCCCTATATATATATAACTGTATTCACGATTTTTCAAGTACTTACAATAATCTGACAAAAAAATAGTTTAAACAAAAGTTGATCTGATTTTGATTGACTATAAATTGCAATAAAAAAAGTTTTAAAAAATTATTTTTTTTATGTATTAAGCCAAGGTAATTTAAAGATCATGGTATATTAATTCGTTGAATTTGTATTGATACGGACTATAATACTGTAAGGTCAAAAATATAGGGTGTCATTTAACCCTTTCGCTACGGGGCGGATCTCCGCCGCGGTACTCCCGCAGTACGGCGCGCTACACCGAAACAGTGCACGGTGCACGCAACGTTCGAGCCGGTGTCGTAAGACTTATGATCGAGGCATTTGGTTTATTATTGAAGCCCGTAAAAAACAAATGATGCAAAACGAAAGACTCATGCGGCATGTTTAGAATGAGATACTCTGTGCATAGCAACTGCAGGCGCTTATCATATATACAATTACGCGACATCTTTAGCGGGAGCGACTATAGCCGCTCGTAGTATCTCAGCGGCATCACATGGAAAGCGACTATAGTCGCCCATAGTACCTGAGTGGCATCACATGGAGAGCGACTATAGTCGCTCGTAGTAGCGAAAGGGTTAAAAATACAAAAGTAGCCTTAAAAAACATAAACAAAAATTTTTATTTAACATTTTTTTATTGCAATTTATAGTCAATCAAAAACAAATTAACTTTTGTTTAAACTATTTTTTTGTCAGATTATCGCAAGTACTTGAAAAATCGTGAATACAGTTATATGGGATACCCTGTATATATACAGGGTGGGGCAATATCTCTGTCCAGTTAGAATATTGTCGTTGTTTATAACAATATGAAAAATTTTATATACGCAACTTACACGGCATGATAAGGGGCATTTTTTGGCTTGAACGTTTTTTGCGTGGGTGGAGGCATAGAGGAGATTTCCAGGTCACCCGCATTTTTTTAAATGAATATTATATATTTTTTTTAATAGGATGTGATGGCAAGTGTTGGACGAATTCAACGAGCTATTATTCAAGGTCATGCGAGGTCAAATGTGGTAGAAAATAAAGTTTCTTACATTACAAAAGATGTTCGAAGTGGTGACCGTTAACGCCAAAGCAAAGTTGTAATCTTCGTATTGCTGCATCGCGTACATGTCTTATCATTTCTAAAACTATGCTATTACAATTTGCAACTATTCCTTCTTTCATGTTTTCTGGTGTAGTGGGTGCTTCTTAGTAAACCGCATTTTTCAATGCTCCCTATAGAAAAAAATCTAGTGGGGTTAAATCGGGAGAGCGAGCTGGCCAAGAAACTACTACTCCACGTCCTATCCATTTATTTGGGTAAAGTTCATTCAGTGCATCTCTTACACTCCGCGCATAATATGCTGTACATCCGTCGTGCTGTAACCACATCATTTGGCGAACATTTAGTGGTACATTTTCTAATAAAGTCCCCAATTGATAGTTGCAACATGTAATAGCATAAGTTTAGAAATGATAAGACATGTACGCGATGCGGCTATACGAAGATTACAACTTTGCTTTGGCGTTAACGGTCACCACTTCGAACATCTTTTGTAATGTAAGAAACTTTATTTTCTACCACATTTGACCTCGCATGACCTTGAATAATAGCTCGTTGAATTCGTCCAACACTTGCCATCACATCCTATTAAAAAAAATATATAATATTCATTTAAAAAAATGCAGGTGACCTGGAAATCTCCTCTATTCCTCCACCCACGCAAAAAACGTTCAAGCCAAAAAATGCCCCTTATCATGCCGTGTAAGTTGCGTATATAAAATTTTTCATATTGTTATAAACAACGACAATATTCTAACTGGACAGAGATATTGCCCCACCCTGCATATGGGGCATTTCATGTCAAATCAACTATTCGATTGTGCTGAAACTTTTCTATCATTTGCAACTTCATTAAAAACCTCTTTAAGAATTTTTTAAAAACATGACTTTTTTTGTTTAAATAGATGGAACTTTGTCAAAAATTGACTTATTGGGACGTTTCTTTTAAATTTTTTGTTTTTAAATGTAATTTGTAAAAAAAATATAAAAACAAATATATTTGAAGTCAAATTCTTTAAGAAATCTAATTTTTTTTGAAAAAAAAACCTTAAATTTGCGAATTTTGGTATTTTTGATTCATTTTTTTCTTATTTTTTCCTTTTAAACTTTGATTCATTCTGAACTTAATTCATACCTTCTCCAGATGTGCCAACATCTCTTTTTATTTTTGTTTCTAATTTAAAAATTTTGTTTCTATACTAAAATAAACTTAAATAAGCATATGTAAATATTTGTAAATCTATTTAACACTAGATTTACGAATTGAGCCAATTTGACTCATTGAACATTTGATTATTTTATATATTTATAAAATTTAAATACTATTTTTTGAAAACTTATTGGTTTTTAGTTACGTAATGAAATATACGTAAATATTAGTTCAATTCCTTTACTCAATCCTTTATTCAAACAATGTTATTACGTCATTAAAAAATAATGAACAAAACATCCGTAAATCTAGTGTTAATGACCTTAGTATAATTATATACTATCGAAAATTATAATTACAAAAAGATTGCAATGCACTATTGGTTAATGTTTGTAGTCAATAAAATTAATTAATTTGCAAATAGTATATTGTTCTAAATTACAATAATTTTTTACAAGAAAACACCCATCATTGCTTGGTATAACGGTATAAAACTGCTGAGTTTTTGCAATGCTTGTTGTATTTAAAAATCGATCATCTAGATCATCTGCAGCTTTATTGTAGTTATTAATTGGCGAAAACTTCACCGTTTAGGGTGTTTGTAAATTAATTAAGCGATCAAGGAAATCTAAATAAATTCTTAATTTTATTGGCTACAAACATTAACCAATGGTGCATTACAATCTTTTTGTAATTATAATTTTCGATAGTATATAATTTACTAAGGTCGTTAAATAAATTTACAAATATTTACATATACTTATTTAAGTTTATTTTAGTATAGAAACAAAATTTTTAAATTAGAAACAAAAATAAAAAGAGATGTTGGCACATCTGGAGAAGGTATGAATTAAATTCAAAATGAATCAAAGTTTAAAAGGAAAAAATAAGAAAAAAATAAATCAAAAATACCAAAATTCGATAAATATAAGGTTTTTTTCAAAAAAAAAAAAACGAAATTTATTAAAGAATTTGACATCAAATATTTTTTTTATATATTTTTTAAAAAGTAAATTTTAAAATAAAAAGTTAAAAAAAAACGTCCAAATAAGTCAATTTTTGACCAAGTTACAGTTATTTAAACAAAAAAAGCCATGTTTTAAAAAAATTCATAATTTTTTTTGAGTTAGGTAAATAAATTTTAAAAAATTCATAATTTTTTTTGAGTTAGGTAAATAAATTTAAAAAAATTCATAATTTTTTTTGAGTTAGGTAAATAAATTTAAAAAAATTCATAATTTTTTTTGAGTTAGGTAAATAAATTTAAAAAAATTCTTAAAGAGGTTTTTTATGAAGTTGAAAATGATAAAAAAGTTTCAGCCAAATCGAAAAGGGTCAAAAGTGGTCGATTTGACGTGGAATGCCTCATATATATTGTAGATATTGCTTAGATTTATAAGAATTAAAATTTTATCGCTAAGAGTATGTAGCACTGTGGTCTTGGAAATGATATTTCAGCAGGTGGACAGCCGGCAAATGCAACAGCAGTCAGTGGTAAAGTCCTAACTGGAGATCTAGATAGTAGCCTTGCCAGTTTAGCACAGAATTTGACGATTAATAAAAGTACTCAGCCACAAGTTAAGTAAGTCATTGCTTCTTATCTTTTTTTTTCATACAAGTTTATCGGAAAATAGTGGAGTTTTTAATTAAATAAATTTCTTTTAGGGGAATGCAATGGAATTCTCCTAAAAATACGGCTAAAACTGGAGGTCCCGCTGGATGGACACCACAACCGATGGCAGCAACCACAGGGGCTGGATATCGTCCTATGGTGAGCCTAATTAAATCGATAATTGTTCCTTAAATTATTATCGGCACGTATGTCATGTATGTAAATAAGTACATCACACATTGTCTTGATTCAGCTTTTACATTAGTGTTAAAGCTTCTGGATTATTGGGTTTTATGTACACCAAATGCATTTCTATTTCTTGTTTTGGCTAATTATCATGCACACAACACATAGTCAAGGTAGCACTAGTTACGTCACATAAAAAGTACGGTATTTGAATTTCTTTCTTTCTCTTCTTTTATGATACAAATTAAAATACTTCTATGAAGTTATTGAATAAATTTAAAAGTCAAATATGACTTTAAGGAGCACGATTAGTGCTTTTTCAAGTTAACTTTTATTTTTTTTAAAGAAAATTTCTCTTGATATATACCTAAGATATTATAGTTCTTAGGTATTTATAAATAAATTTGTACAGAGTTCTTCTACCGTTTGGCAAATTTAGTTGTGATGCATGCATGGCATATGGCATGTTACCGGCTGTTCCAGGGTCAAGGAATGACGCAACTTCCTCCTGCAACCACGTTGGCCTTTTCCCCACAGACAACTCCAATGGTAAGTTATGTTTCTTTAAAAATCCTATTACGGATTAGAACTTGGCCTGAGCTAACTAATTTTTTTAAAACAGTGGTGTAATTCAATGATTATAAACATTAATGTCGATGAACTTCGTTCAATATTATATCTTAAATACCACTGAATTAAAGAATTTGATGGTGCATATCCTTATTGTATATTACTTATTAATCCTCACTTTACAACTACTGTTTATGTGCTATCTCAACTTTGTCACTAACTCTTTTCTAATAATACTACACAATGAGAATGTTACATCAAGCTGTATGAATGTTACCAGAACTGATTAAATCACATTTCAATTACAATATTCATTTTTGTTTGGCTTAGCACTACAAATGCCTTGATTTTAGAATCGAATAAAAAACAATCACAAAAGTATCTAATTCGTATTTTATTTTAGATGTAAATAAAATTCAGAAATATTTTTTAAAATACTCTATTCAAATGAAATTAATTGTGTTTACAAATAGTTTCCTGTTTTGATGTGTACAGCCTCTTAGAATGCTGTCAAAAATAATGAATATAATTTCCTTAATACTCATTTTTTCGAATAGGATACAAATTTTTATTATTTTCTCACTTGACGCATTTCTGGTTTATATAGGGTATGCAAGGTATGCCAATGGGCATGCAAGGTATGCAAAGTATGAGGCCGATGATGGGTGCAATGCCAGGGCCTACTACTGGAGGTGGTGGTATGATAGTTGCGGGTGGAGCTGCACCAATGATGATGCCTAATGCAAATCCTATGATGGGTGCTAATCTTCAACAGCAACAGCAGCAACAGCAGCAACAGCAACAGCAGCAGCAGCATCCACAACCTGCTGCTCAGCCACAAGGCAATGCTGTTCAACTAGATCCTTTTGGTGCTCTATGAAGAGACTAGGTATTTGTTTAAAACATTTACCGTAGTCCATAGACACCGCAATCGATCTTTTATTTATTTTTATCAAAAACTAGCCCAAAAGAAAAAATAATTGCAAAATTACGATCGAAGAGAGACCTTCATCGTATTAATAATATTTTATGTTATTCTATTTCAGTAAAATATGCTCTATAGTCATAATTTTTATGCTTTTTATGTCTGTGATTAATATAACCATGATAACTGTATGAATAAATTCAATTAGTTAACGTAAAAGTTCATTGAATTAAACAGATATATGAATAATTTCACGCTACTTAGCAGAATAGTAGAGAAAATTGTGATTAATATATATCTATCTATATATATATATGTGCACACTTATACATATTCACGTACACATACGCTATATACTTATGCTAATTAAAATTATAATTTTAATGTTTACTATATTCTTCGTTTATAATTTTATTAAATACGTATTACATCGGTTCGAAATGTTTTTTTCAAAAACATAAAATTTCTGTTTCAGGATTTCAAATGGAATGATAAAAAGGAAGATTTTGTAAATACTGTGTAATATGCTTAGAAAATATGCCCTTTTGATTGATATCGATCTAGGTTCGAAATGTTCTAACCGTTGTTGATATCGACCTTTGAACTTCGTTAAAAAGCAGACGCTGTTCGTCTCTCTCACTGTGAATATGGTCAATACTTCTATCATTATTATTCTCGCGCGATCATTCGATCTTGAGGATCTGCTACTTGTATGTTACAATTTGCCTTTTGAAATATTGTGTTGTTTATTAAATGTCATTTCAAATTGTAAATCAAGATGTGCTGTGTTCTCAAGATGATAATAATAATAATCGAGAATCTTTGTTATTATATAACAAATTACCGTTTAGAATCGCACAAACGTGCATACGTATATGTGCTGATGTTGCTACTATTCCTACACTTGGATTTGCTGTTTTTACATATTTATGCAATTGTCGAAAGAACAAGGATAACAATAGCTCTGCGAGTGTGTATTTCGAAAAAGCTTTGTAATAATTTATTATAATCGTGCTAAATGAAAAGACTCGGATAGAAAGGTATGAATTATAGTTAAGTAAATTCAGGTGGAGCTTAGTGTGATTCTAAACGTTTAGGATGATTAGATTAGGTATATACAATTAGCTGTTTGCGTGTATATCGGTATCTATTTTACGATAAATCATAAAAAAAGAATTAGGAAAAAAGCATGTAAAATTCTCGTTACAAAAGAGATATTTAAATAGTAGTTTACATTGGGCATCGATCTAGCGTATTTGTATTTATCATATATTATATATATTATTCCTTTTTTTAAATTGTCTTATTTTTTTTAGAAATCATTGGTTTTGGTCCAAGTGGAGAAGTTCACAGTTATCCTATGTTGAAGTATTAAATAATATAATAATAACGATTAATGTGTGAACTAAAAAATATTATAATTAATTTAGAAATAATGATAATAATTACGTTATTTTGAGATATCAGGTGACGCAAATATGCATATATATACGTATGTGCATGGGTAGGAAAAAAAATAGTAATAATTAAACAAAAACTATTATATGTATATATGCGTATAGGAAAACCATAATTCCATGGAGTTTTCGAGACAATTAATGATGAGAACGAAGAAACGAATATATATTGGGGTATTTCATAAATGTTCTCTTTATTGTACTATTCCAAACATCTTAATTAGATAGTTCATTATTATGTATACACGATTAATCTTAATTTAATTTTCTAGATATTTAAGAAGACATAAAGAATGAAAGTAAAAATAAGGTTATACATACGATGCTCGTAAACAAAAATTATAGATGTACCCAGAATCAGCGATGATTTAGTATTATATACTATTATATATATATATAATACATGCATATAAAGATATATCTAAATATATAAATAGTAGATAAAAATACTGTTACAAAAGGTCTAATTAATAATTTGCTCCGCGTACGCAGTTGACTGTGTAGAGATGAATATTTAAATTAATAATAAGTGTATGTTGATTGGAAATACATCAAAATATTTTTCATAATTTTGTTAATATCATTAATTCCTTAATAATTAATTTAAATTATTATTCGAATGTATTGGTCAAAATTCAGACATTAAATTGCATACGCCGAGTAAATGTTCTATATATTATGTAAAAAGAAGTTGCCGTGTACAGTGATAGAGAGTAATAAGAAAAGTAATAGTGTTTTTTTGAGAGACGAAGATTGAAGCAGCGTACACACTAAAGTACTAGTCTATCTTTATGCAAAAGATTTCTCAAAAACAGTACAATGGTTATTGCAACTTTGGAAGAAGACCAAAATTATTTGTCAACAGATAATGATTATTATTATTATTGTTATTATTATGATAATAAAATGTTTAGCTGATAGATACATGGCAGGTTCTGGCTTGGCTTATTACTGAATTTATTAGAAATTTTCATTCAAATAAAGCAAGAAAGAAAATGAATGAAAAGAAGCAAAAAAGAAGAAAAAGCTCGCAATTATCAGGACAGATTAATTTTTTCAATTTTTAAGTTATATATTGTATTATTTTTTTGATACTTTATAAATTTAAATTCAATATCTGGATAATAGTGAACTTGGTTAATAAAACTAGCTCGATTATATTTTATAAATTATTTTTTGTTTTTACTGTTCATTATTATTGTCAATGTTTATGTAAAGAACAAAATATTTTATCAAAGAACTTTGTCTTGTATTATTGACTGCAGATTTTCCGTGACTGTCGAATACGATCTTCCTGTTCGTTAATGCTTATACGTATATTTCTTTGTGGTCTCTTTTTAAATATTAATTCAATTATATATACACAGATACATACATATATACATAATTTATCTCTTTTTTATAAACTACTCGCGTTTTTATGTATATTAAAATACGAGATAGTTTTATCGTAATTTATGAAACACCTGGGTACGTTTTATTGTTTTAAAATATTTTATTGATCACCTTTTATATTTTAGGATCTATTGAATATCATTTAAATAGGCAATTCAGTACTATTTAGTATATAAAAAAAAGAAAGAAATAAAATAACAGAAATAAGTTGAATTGTATATTTCGTATGATTTATGATAATTTGTATAACAAGAAATGCGAGCTAACGAACGAAAGAGAAAGAGAAAGAGAGAGAGAGCGAGAGAGAGAGAGAGAGAGAGAGAGAAAACGTTATTAAATGTCGTATATAAAATTACATAATTAATAACTCGTGATCAATATGAGTCTAAGATTATTTTGATATATCATATTTTTCCTCCTTTATATTCTTTTTACTTCCTCATACATCAATGATTATCATTGTTTCGAAATACTTCGTTTAACGTTTATGTAAATGTCATTCATGTAGTTGTAAGAATTTCAAGGCACGTACTGCAATAACCTATATTCTATATTCGGTGAAATTAGTCGTATTAACATTAAATATTTATACATGTATATATATACATATATACATAGTAGAATTCCAGAAAATATCTCCAGTAGGTTTAGCACAATAATCATATAGCTCCCTCACTCTTTTTTGATATTCATGAACCCTTTCGTTACGGCATGCTTTTGCGCGAATATCATTCCATATAAATTCGCTAATATTAAAATATCTTTGCAATGTATACGAACTCTATATGGGTCGCTAGTAACGAAAGGGCTAGTACAATAATTATCGTTAGAACAAAGTTAAATTTTATCATTTAAAGATTAACGAAAAAAATTTAATTGAAAATTAAAGAAAAATGTTCCCATATGTATTAACATTTAATAATGCTAATATTTCAAATAATCTTAAATTTATCTTATCGATCTAGTCTTTTTTATTTCATATTGATAAGAATTGTTAAATTTATTAAGATTTTTATCAAGTATACCCTATAAAGATAAAATGAAATTCATTAAGTTTTCCCTGACCAGATAAAAAATATTTCAATTAACCCTTTTGCTCCGGAATGGTTGAGACAAAATATAATCGCTGGATACGGAGCGTTTTGTTTTTTCATATTTGATCGTGTATTTTTGAGGAACGTATATATACGCTCTTCGTACATTATTGGTCATTTTTCTAGGGCTGATATATACGGCCATCGGAGTGAAAGGGTTAATAAATGAATGTATCTGGAAAAGAATGAATGAGAAGTGTCAAGAGATTTATCTTTGCCAAGATTAATTTTAGAAACAATAGTGTGACATTTGTTAAATAACTATTATCTTTATAAATAATGTAACTTTTTAATTAAACATTTTTAAGTTTTACATGTCAATATTTCATAGACATCTACGAAACAAAAAAAAATTGAACAAGTAAAACCCCACTAGATGATCTCATTTGAAATTAATTTTCTTTCAATATTTTGGCAGCAAACATATCTCTCGTAGCGATTATGTGTATCGAATGTTCGTCGAGAATGATTTTGAGAACAATAATATCTTCGAAATTTCTTCAATCGGTAGATAGATAAATAAATACATAAATAAATAAAACGAGAAATTTCTGTAAAGCGTACAGAAAAATATAGTAATACATGAAAAGTATAATATATTTGATTCATTATCGATTGTCGCGTAACGTTTTGAACGCGTATTCCTATCGAAACATTAGTTCGATCATCGTATGTAATATGTTATTAATTAGTCGACGTATATATAGTTGTATTATTAGGTTCAATGAATGTAAGAAAGAAGGTCGCAGGTCGATCCTTAGATGATAATAGTGTACAACTACTACTCTACTACTACTATTACTGATCCTTTAACTAACTTTAAACAGTCATGTTTTTAAAGACTGAAGAATATAAATTGAAGAATATGCAAAACAAAACCTTCATTTCTAATCTATTAAAAAAAAAAAAAAAAAGAAACAAGAACAAAATTGCGAAGACGAAAGGAACATTAATTACATAGTGAAATTAATAGAAATAGACAAATGGACGATTATGTGTGCCGATCGACGAATATTGAAATTTCATTTTAGAAACACAAATTGCAACGATTCTATGAATAATTATATATATTTAAACATTTTTTTTTTGAGATAAAAGATAAAAAAAATTGGAGGACAAGAAAGTATCATTAAACGTTTTCCTCGTAATAATTAAAATACGACGAAAGTTGAAATGAGTAATTTTAATATATTAAATAAATAAGATAACAGGGCAATTGTCTAAACCTACTGGTAATTATAATAATGTAACAGGACAATATTATATGTATTATTCCGCACATTATAGCGATCTTAGATAAAATTTAGTCTAACGATTAACGACTATTCAAATACCGAGATGGATCTATCGAAATTCGATCGTTTTGTCGCCATCACCATTGCCATCGTAGTTGCCATCGCCGTCGCCGTCGCCGTCGCCGTCGCCGTCGCCGTCGCAATCGCCATATTGGTACACAAGTAAAACTTTATTAATACTACGCGTATATACCAATAATCGTTTTTGCTTGTACTATTTATGCAACAAAAAACAAGATGATAAGATAACACGTAATAAAAAAAAGTGTTAAGATATATAAGTTAAATATATATATTGGCACAAAGAAAGAATAAAAAACAGAAGAAAAATAAAAAAATAAAAATCTTTTCTTTGATACAACAATCAATCAATACAAAAAATTTTTGATTAATTTAACCCTTTCGTTAGGGCATGCTTTGACACGAGTATTGTTCGATTCTTATGAAGTTTTGTCGTTCGTATGAGGCTTTGCATATGTGACCAGTGTATGGGTCGCTAGTAACGACAGGGTTAAAAAAATCGAATTTTTTCATTGACAATGAATAGAATGCATTAAACAATGTAATAGTTATATATTAGAACTTATATATATATATATATATATATATATAAAACATATGCCTCTGTAAATGTGATTAAAATATAGAAATCGTTGCGCAACAACGATGAAATGCAATGTATTTCGTGATATAACGTGAAAAAGGAAAGAATGGAAAAGTAAGAAAGAAAATGTATCTATAAGAAATTTTGCGTCATCGGTTAATTCATTAAAAAACAAGAAAATAAAACATAAGATTCTCGATACATCCCATTGTTTGTCCAATACTAATATACGTAATTACATATGTATTGACGTTTAGCAAAAGTCAACGACCCCCTTTTTGAGAATTTAGAATCAAATTTTTGTATCGATAAAAAAGCATAATGATTAGCCAACAATGCCTTCATGTTGTATAAATGTCCATGAAAGAAAGAGAGAGAGAGAGAGAGAGAGAGAGAGAGAGAGAGAGAAAATGAGAAGGAATTAGTTGGGAATTATTATAGAGTCATCTGAAGGTTGTTCACCCATGCATCCATAGCAAACGAATTAAATGGACCTATATAAAAGAAATACTAGTGATATGTTAATAATAGAAGTCAACAAAAAGAAAAAAATACTAGAAAGAAAAAAACAGAAAGGAGATAAACGAAAAAAAAATATGAAGAAAGTTTGTAAGTAGTTGAAAAAAAAATTAAAAAACAAAGTTATATTGATACAGTGTTGAGATAGTAATCGAAAAATATCTTTTTAGAGATTCATCGAAATTAAGAAAAAAGTGAATTATGGCTAATTTATATAAATTCCTATATACAAAAAAATCGTGTGTGTAGATCACACGTGTTAGAAGTGAAACCTTCAAAAAACTAATTTTCGAGAAAATGAGACGAGTGCACAGTATCAGAAGTAGGCTAATTTACGGTTTATTTATTATAATATTGTTACCATATATAAAAAAGAGCACCGGTATGATCTTGGTGTGGAGGTAGCTGACAAAAATTATCACTTTCCAAATTCTAGCAATCAAGATGAAATATGCCGAATACGATAGCGAATAAATAAACCTAAAAATCGTAGAATTTTTGTTGACGTCCTAACCTAAGTAAATATAATATATTTTTTTTTGTGAAACTCAGGTATATGTGAATCTTTATTTGAATTTAAAATATCCTTAATCATTGGTCAATACAACCAGGTATTTTACTCTTGCAACTAATTCCTTCAGATGTTTCGACAAAGAACGAAACAATTTGGGTCATATTTTTTCCGTTTGATCGAGTTTTATAACGATTCTAATAAAGTTTTCTCTTCAAAAATCGTTGTAAAAGAAACATCTAGTGTTAATTCTGAGCATACGTCGAGCAAGAGCTCGCCCAGCTGTGTCTCAGGCTATTGCCTATTACACGTGATGTTGAATGCGTAAAACCATTGCAAAGAGAACAATGACCGTAGATGTTATGATCATTGGGGTTGGAAAAACCCCCTCTTCACCATTTCTGGATCATCAGAGAGGTAGACCGTCCCAAGGCTGGGAAGTGACCCACTTAGCCGTTTTGCTGGCAAATCATTAAGATTTATTGTAAAAGAAGCAAATTATAATTCAATAATATTATTATTATAACTATTAATTATGGCATTAGAAACTCAAAAGGTCATTGCCGCAAATACAAAATCCCGCCAGTGTTCCCATCCCT